GATCTAAATACCAGCAGATTGTAACCTGAATTCTGACTGTGTGTGTTTGGTCTGTATCTTTGAATAAATGGCATTATAGTTTACTGGTTGTTATATTTTGCTAATGTCTGGTATCCAATGCGTCCTATGTGAAGTGCTAAATAAACACTGTGCTACTGTATTTCCATCGCAGCGTTTAAATAAAGCCTACAGTGACTAGCAGCTCTTTTTCTTCTTACTCCTTATTCCATGGTTTGGATTATAATGCAATCAAGTAGCTTTTATACAAATACACTGCCGTGAGCAGGATTTGGTATTGATTAGAGACCCCAGCCTGGGGTAGGAATTGGTGCTTAGATGTAAGTAAGAGCTACGCTGCTCTGGGGAAGGCGAGCGTGAGTGGAGGGCATCCCTTGTGGTGCTGCTGCCGCTGCCACACCTGCATTCAGACCGGTTCTGCCTTCCTGGCAATTTCAGCAATATTGACCTTGGATCTAGGATTTTCTTTAACGTTATCCAGCGTAAAGATGTCCGTGACATGTGGATGTGACAGTTTTTGTAACTCTCAATACAATGCTGCTGTCCTAGGGGCATGGGGAAGACAACAATGGTACAAATGCCCCCGTGAACCTCTGGACAGACCATTTTTTAATATTTTTAATATTAATTGCAAACAGAAAGCAAGTACTTGGTGATAGAGATCTGAATTGATACCAGTATCAAAGACAAACCTGTTGAGTCGTCCATCGTAGTTCCACTTCTCTTGCATGCCTTTGTAAGAATTTCTGTGATATTCGTTAAAGCATTTTCTTTGAAGCTAGCAAGCTACTGAGTAGTGATAGCATGTTCTGAAGAACTAAATTGTAGCATAATGTCAAATACCTCCTCTCAAAGCCAGTATCTTCTGATGTGTTTGTGTAGTCTGTTCAAAATACTTATAACGGAGTCAGATTATTGATTATTGCAACCTGTGATTTCAGGAGGATAACAGCATTGTACTTTGTTTAGAAAAGTTTCAGTGATTAGACTCGAGGTGTTGCAGATTTCGGTTTAAATACCGTTTAGAAACTTCTGAAGGTACTGACGTGACCGCGTGGATGATGCTGTGCCAAAGGATGCCTTTTAGTGCTGGTGTTTGAACTTCATGCAAATAACTAGGAAGAAGAACCTTTCTGTCCAGAATCCAGTAGGACAGAAGTCTGTTAGCAGCTTCACAGCATTTTTTATTTTTTATTTTTTTTAATTTTGTGCTTAGCTCTTGGGCTTTCCTCCCCTAGGGAAATACCCAGTCCTCCTTGTCTGTATTTCTGTGGCCGTTGTTCTTTGGGCAGCAGCGGGGCGAACGTCTGTGGGGCCGCAGTGCTGGGGGAGAGCAGAGGCATTGAGCTGGCTCTTGCCCCGTGCTGGGCTGCTGGGTGCAGGAGGAAGGGAACTGAACCGCAGCAGCTGAGCCTGGTGCGTAACAACCCCCCAGCAGGCTGCTTGCTCTCCCTGGCCCTCCTGCAGCCCCAGCACGTGGAAGCGGTGACGCCAGCTCGTGCGCAGCCGCTTGGTTTGCTGCTGCCTGCAAAGCTGCCCGGGAAGGAGGCGGCAGGGAGCAGCTGCGTGCTGAGCACACCAAACCAAAAAAAACTTCTCAGCCCTTTAAACCACCATATAGCGCTTACCCCGAAGTCAGTTACTGAACTGCTCGTGATGTAGAAAAGCGAAAACAGGATTAAGATGGCAATTAAAGAAGAGAAATTGAGCTCTCTGATCTTTTGCACCGAGTTCAGAACCCCGTGCTTTTGTCTGGGGCTGTAGTAAAAATAAAAACATTTACTGCTGAACTTGGAAAACATCTGAGATCCCAGTAGCGAGCTCCGGAGTACAGCTGAATGACTTCAGGAGGCTTGCATGGAATAAATAAGATTTGTTTTCTGTGACTGTCATTAGGGTTGGCTGGAAAGGATTATTGTAGATGACTCGAAGCAGATGTTCTCCAGTACAATTTGGAGTGAATCAGTCTGTGTGCCAGTCGGTCTTCACACCATGGGAGCAGCATGGGACGAGCTGAAGTGCAGTTTGAATTCCTCTCGGTTGTTTTCTGCAAGGTCCTGAATACGAACGAGGTCCTGGGGCTGCTTCGTGGTACTTCTTGTTTTGGGGTGGTTGTAGTGGGTTGCAGCAGAAGTAGACAACGGCAAAAAGAAACTAAAATGATGTGCAAGTTTGAGAGACCGAGTTATGCAATTGTGCTCTTACAGTGTTGGAGGAGAAGTTGCCAAACTCCCTTGTCCCACTGTGCTGTATGTTCCTTCGCCTGTCCGCTGCGTAGCCAAGAAGCATTTCTAATAGCAGCTTGCACTAATAAATGGTCGTTGCTGCTGCTGCTCGAAATAGGACATCCTGGTAGCTTTTACAGCTTTGTTCTCTTGTCAGTTACGTGACAATATATGATTTTTATGCAGCCAGTAACAGCTGGTTTAAGGTAAAGACCCTGCTGTGCGATACCGATGTACTGCTGTTACCGAAATAGGTGCCTTCGTCTCAAAGATGATACTCGAGGCCTTTTGGAGAGGTTGTCTTGCTTTCATCATAGTGTTTAACTATACAACAAGAGATTTCATAGTCTATATTATTTTGAAGCAGGTAAAAATGATTTTTATGATAAACCTTTTGTGCCAGTTTGGGTAAAGCATTTCAAGATAAGAGCACAAAACTACTGGAGAAGGGTGGAGAAGCTGTTGAACCTGCCTGAATTATTTTTTTAAGAGAACCAGGCTTTCCTGAAGGTCAGAAGAAGGAAAAATAGGAGAAGCTACCTGCAGTTTGAGTGTTCCTGCTTCTTGCAGCGATGGCTTCAGTGTGGCCTGGGTGCTTGCAGTTGCCCACTGAGCGCATGAAGAGTCTGAGGCCGGTGTCTTGTGCTCTGCTAGGAGCTGAGCGATCAGCACAGACCCGGTGGTGTAAGGCTGCTTTTGCTCTCCTAATTGGTACCATGCCTCTGTCAGAGGATGGGACTGCAGCAACAGCCTAGCAGCTAGCACTTCTGGTACAGACCTGGCCTCTGGGAGGTGATTTAGCATTTGGGGCAGCCATATGTGTGTCTTTGGGTATTTTAAAACAAAGGCAAAGCTGTTGCTGGAAATTCCCTGACCAGTTTCATCTTTCTGTAGGTGTGTGTATATATATGAGCATATCGCTTTCCCCATCTTGACCTTCTGATAGGCTAATGATCCTTTTTTTGCCATCGGTTTGTCACTTAGGTAATGAATATTTGGGGATTACCAGTATCTGCAAAAATAATTGTACCGGCTATTGATGTGCACAATAAACAGTGATTCCTTGTGCCTAGGTAACTCTTAGCGTAAAACATGTTGAGAGTATCATGTTTTGCAAGTCTAAAAATATTTGTCTGGAAACTCCCAGAATTAAACATTCGCTATTCTGAGTGCTCCAGATCTAGAAACTTTGGAAGGAAAAAAAAAGGGGGGGGGAGAATTATGTATTACTTAAACTGTGGTGCTAAATTCTCCTTCTTGGACAGTGAGGGATGCAAGGATCAAAACATGAAGAAAGTCAATGGCTGAAGTAAAATACTAAATACCAAAATACTTAAAAATCAGTGCTTTAAAACATCAGCCTGCCTCAGATGGTGGGGATTTAACTGTCTGCAGAGGCTTGGCAGTTCAGCTGAAGAAAGAATCGTGGCAATGTAATTCATCTTTAGCCTGAAAAAGATTTTACAGCCTGAGTTGCAATCACTCCAAACCTATATAGATTTAAATTAAACTTGATAAAAGTTACTCTGAAAACCAGGCAAACTGTTTCATTGCAGCTTTATCCAGTGTGTCATCAACCTAAAGCAGTCCTGCTGTTGTTTGTGACTTTATAAAAGGGCAGAATTGAGTTGGAAAAAGCCGAGTCTTACAAACTCGTGTTCTCCTTAACACGAAGAACTTGCAGTGGTGTGGGGAGAGCCGGGCTGCCCTGCCTGTGCTCGGGTAAGACGTGGGGTGAACGTGGGATCCCTGCACAGCTCCTGGCTGCCTGATTTTCCTCGGCTGCAGTTTGTGTCCAGTTGAGTCACAAACGCAGTTAAGCAATAAACGAGGCTCGGTGATTCAAGTTTTCCTCCGCTTATCTTTTAAATCCATCTACAAAGGTGAATTAGAAATTCCAGTTTTTGGTGCTGTTAGTATCAGGTCATGGAAATTTGGATCCCTTGTAGTCTGAGCGTTCACAGAGGAGTTATTAAAATCACGCTCGTGTTTAACATCTACAGATCGTGGCAGCTGCCTTTGGGAGGGACTTGTGCATACGGAAATGTTGCAGCAAAGCCCGTCAGAAAGAAGATCTGATACATTAAAGAGTGTAATGAGAATTTCTGAAGTTGCTCCTCAGTGTTACATGTCAGGAAGTGTAACTCCAGAATGCTGACAGTTCCTAAGGTGGCTGCTCGGAGCCGGGGCTGGCTCCCATGCCTGGTTTGTCTGGTGCTGGGTGACTGGCTGAGGACACCTACTGGGCACTGAGCTTGCTTCAGCTGTTTTGAGACTTTGAGTACTTTGTACCTAGGCCTTTAGACGCTTGGTGTAGCTCCAGGAAGCACCCGTGTTCTGAGCAAAATTAGTCAGCAGTGACTTGTGTAAATCTAAAGCAGTGCCTAAAAGAATAAACGCTGCATTTCTGATTTCACTGGTTACTCTGTTCACTTGGCATTTATGTTCCCAGTTAGGACAATTAACTAATACCTGAAGTCGGGTCTCAGAACTTTGCTAATTTGCACACTGGTTTTACTGCTACGATTTCAGTTTAGTTTTATGTAAGTGTGTGTGTTACAGCTCCTTCAGTTTCCAACTAGGTCAGGAAAGTGTCCTTGTCCCTGTTCTTCGAACAATCAGCTCCCTAAAGCCAGACAGTGTGATAGCAATTTTGTGATTAATGTTTCCAGCAATTATAAAGTGGAAGGTCTTAAAGTACATTTGATAATTAAGATGTACGTGAAACATGAAGTGACTTTTTCTTCCTTGTTGCAGATCCATAACATGGTGGCAGTGCTGGAAGTGATCTCCAGCTTGGAGAAATATCCCATTACCAAAGAGGCACTTGAGGTATGTCACCATCTGAATGCCACTTGGTTTTCTTGTGTGCATAAAAGGACTTTCTCAGCCCGTCTCATTTCCATAAGAGCTTTTCCTGAAACAATAGATTGATTGCAAAGGATTCACAATTAAGATATTATTTTGTCTCTCTCATGCTGCTTCTGACATCTCAGTGTGTACACAGTGGTTCTTTCTGGATTCAGATCAGTGTTCTGGGCAGCCTGGTTCCTATTTGTATAAGGCACTACATTAATCGTTACTTGCTCCTTGTTAATTCTTTGCATTCATCATCACTCTTCTTGTTGAGCTACTGGTCACCTTTGTAGTTGTTTGGTGACAAAGCAATGAATCTGAAATAGGAAAGCAATGTTCTGTAAAATTAATCTTAAATTTAGTCCAGCATGTTTCGATGCCTGAATCTCCGTGGTGAGATTAGATGTATTAAAAGTGGAAGTACCAGCTGGGATAGCGACTGCAGTCTCTCTGGTCACTTTTAAATACAGAGCCCAAAGATGCTTCTATGGCTAAATTATAAAAAGGTTTTGAATCTTTATCATGAAATTGCTTTTAACTATTGTTTTTGATAACCTTTGACTGTTTTCCCTAGACTCAGGTAGCTATAGGATGATTTGAGGTATCTGATGCTGTAAGTAGTCAGCACCGCAGGATTAGCTGTTAGTGAGTACTGAACACAGTGACAAGGCAAATAATTACTGTGAAATGCGGATCATGATACTCAAAAATACAACTACTGTGAAATAATTGTGAGCCTTAGATGGTAAGTGCTAAGTGCTCTCCATGCTGCCACATGGGAGACAAATCTCAGAATGAACAAAGCTCAAAACAACTGAGATTCTGATGTATTACAGTACACAAAGCATTGTGTTGTGCCAGGGGTTTACCTTTGCATTTATAAAGGACCAAATGCTTTGGAAATGCATTCCATGTGGGAATCACACAGCTAGTCCTAGGTGCAAAACCAAGATGATTTTTTCCAATTGGAGATGTTGAAACCTGTTTAGGTTTTTGTCAACTCTAGTTGTATTTCAACATACGTATCACGTGTTGCATATTTCTCACAAAATCCACTCTGTCTTCCTTTGAAGTGCTGCTCTTAAGTAATCCAACTTGTGGAATTCTTTGTTTTCAAGTGTTCTTTGGGCACAAACGCTTCCTTCCCATTGCAGAACTGTGTTGGGGCATCCTAGAAAAGCCTCTTTAAGTTGATCTTCAGTACCCTTTCGAGCTACCAGGAGTGAAGGGGGAGGGCATGAAGGAAGAAGACAGGACATAAACCACACCCTGGCAGTCAGATTTGGGACATGGAGTTTTGTACTTTCAATGTGTTACTGTAACAGGCAAAGATTCTGGATTTTCTCCTCATGCCTCTTTCTGCAGGCCTCAGTTTCACTGTAATAAATGCACCTTTTCTGCCTTGGGTACTGTAGTTCACCTCAAATCTGAGCTTTCACCTATATTCTCAAGATTCCTGCTTATTAAGAATTCCATTCTGATGTTTTTCACAGCGAGTGACCCTGGTGCTTTAGCCAGGGGAGAAAGAAAGGATGGCTTAAAACCCACAGTGTGTTTCATTCTGTGTGGCAGAACGCTGGACCAAGTGGGTTAATCCTTCCAAAAAGGCTCATTCAGCTCTTAAACCTTAATTATTTTATACTAGGTATTTCTTAGGGTCAGCATTAAAAAGCAGAAACTTACTTAGAAAGTGGAGTTGGAATTTTGTTTAGAATAATACCTGTTTTTAAAAGAACTTTTATTTTTTTCTAGGAAACGAGACTTGGGAGGCTTATCAATGAGGTGAGGAAGAAGACATCCAATGAGGAACTTGCCAAACGTGCCAAGAAATTGTTGCGGAATTGGCAAAAGTTGATAGAACCTGTAACCCAGAATGAACCGGTGCCAAGAGGGTTGCCGAATCCACCTGGATCAGCAAATGGAGGTGCTCACAACTGCAAACCAGAAGCACCACTTCCTGCCGTGGCTGGATCAAAGCCAATCAGTGAATTGAAAAGCAGGAATGACATACAGAAACTAAATTCTCCAAAACCAGAGAAATTGGGAAATCGGAAAAGGAAAGGTGAACACAGGGATGGGCATCAGGGCCCTCCTCCCCCAAAAGTCTCCAAAGCTAGTCATGAAGTATTACAAAACTCTTCACCCCCTCCAACGAATGGAATTGGAGGTAGTCCTGAAAATTTTCCTAGTCCTGTAGATGTAAATCTACACGCAGGGCCTGAAAGCAGCAGGACAGAACTCAGTGAAAATGATAAACACAATAAGATTCCAGTAAATGCTGTAAAACCTCACACCAGTTCTCCGGGACTTGTAAAACCTTCAAGCACTTCCTCGTTATTAAAGACTGCAGTGCTTCAGCAGCATGATAAATCAGAAGAAACCACAGGACCGCACCAACCTAAGAGTCCTCGCTGTTCCTCGTTTAGCCCTAGAAATGTCAGGCATGATACTTTTGCTCGGCAGCATACTACGTACTCACCAAAGGATTCAATGCCTAGTCCATCTCAAAGGTCTCAGTTCTTAGATACTGCACAGGTGCCATCACCGCCACCATCCTTGATGCAACCATCAACACCTCCCATGCCAGCAAAAAGACTGGAGTTCCCTCAGCAATCAGTAACTGAGGTATCTCAGCACTGGCAGGAGCAGCAGGTACCTTCTGAAAGCCAGCACAGGCATACAGCAGGGACGCTTCAACAGCACACATCTCCCAGCTGCAAAACCAGCTCCCATCCCGGGGAATCTCTCACGCCACACATGGGCTTTTCACAGGACACTTCAAAAATGGACAGTGATGATGCTGCTTCAGGTTCAGATAGTAAAAAGAAGAAAAGGTACCGACCTAGAGACTATACAGTCAACTTGGACGGGCACGTGACAGAAGGGGGTGTGAAACCTGTGAGATTAAAAGAGAGAAAACTCACTTTTGATCCCATGACAGGACAGATAAAACCTTTAACACAGAAAGATCCTTTGCAGGTAGAAATCCCTGCACTTACTGAACAGCACAGGACAGAAACGGAAAAGCAGGAGCAAAAACCTAACCTGCAAAGCCCTTTTGAACAAACGAACTGGAAAGAATTATCCAGAAATGAAATAATTCAGTCATATTTAAACAGACAGAGTAGCTTGCTGTCTTCATCAGGAGTACAGACTCCAGGAGCTCACTACTTCATGTCTGAATATTTAAAGCAGGAGGAAAGCACTAGAAAAGAGGCTAGAAAGACTCATGTTCTAGCTCCTAACAGCAAACCTACAGACTTGCCTGGGGTCACAAGGGAGGTCACAAGTGATGATCTCGACAGAATACGTGAACATAACTGGCCAGGCGTGAACGGTTGTTATGATACACAGGGTAACTGGTATGATTGGACACAGTGCATATCTTTAGATCCACACGGGGATGATGGTAGATTGAACATCCTGCCTTATGTCTGCCTAGACTGAGTTCAGTTTTGCTAAAATGCTTTTACATCTGCAGTTAGCAAAAATGGCAGACACTATGCCACTTAAACACGGAGAAAGCCTCCTGTCCTGGACAAACAGGCCCAACGAGCAGAGGGTGAGAGGGAGCTGGGTATTGACAGCTCTTTCCTTTAAATTCTCCTTTTGTGAAATGCTGCTACCAGTTTACTAACAATTGCAAAGGAAGGCATACGAAGGTTGATAAACTGAGTTCAAAACTCTATAGCGAGCCAGCTATAAAAAAGTGTTAGTCCCCAAGAAGTGAAGATGATTTCCAGCACTTTCTGAATGCCGGAATCTTATTACAGGCAGGTACAGAGAAAATTGTGGAAGTTACCTTAACAAAATATGCATCTATTTATTTGACTTGATTTGGGTTTTTATTTGGCAGTGAGATATTCGAGAGACAATGTGCAAAAACTGTAGTTTTATTTGTATCACATCTCTGAACATGATTGCGTTTTTAAAGTCATGTGGTACGGAGATTGGGTTTTAAACAGCAGGTGTTGCACTGCAGGCTGGGCAACCAGCTTCAGCTCAACATTCCATAGGCATCCACATATTTTAGTCTGGTTTCAGTTTAAATCCAGTCTCTGAGAAATGCTGCAAAAACTAGATGTTTAATGATATTTTTGATCCCACCACCACCAGCCAAATATTTTTCCTCCTTTTCCCTTCCTGCAAACTTCTAGGAAAAAAAAAAAAAAAGAAAATCACCTTTTCTAGAATCTAAATGTAATGAGGGTGCTACGAGTTTGTAACTGTACTGTGAGAGGGAAAAAGGAAGCCTGTTTGTATGCTGGAAATATACTTGTTACCATTCCTTTAGATATTGTTTGCCTTATGGATATCCATCATAAACGCAATTTGCAAAAACAAAGAGCCTTAGTGAATGTACAGTAACTAGACTTCTGTGTTCTTGGGATGCAGAAGGGAGCAACTTTGCTATTTGGTCCTTTAAGTGGACACATTGTGATATAAATGTGGAAATAAAAAAAATTTGCACAAAGCAGTTTGTGAATTATTTATACTGAACTAATTTATTTTTAGAAGTTTGCTCGATTCAAACTAACTGCGAATCCATTGGAGCAGTGTGGCGAAGCTGAATCCCATCTGACTTTGTCAAAAGCAGCTGGCTGTTAGGGATATATAAGATGTCTTCCAAGTATATTGGTGGTATTCAGTCGCACAGGTTGGATTTTTTTTAAACTCTGGTTGCATCCAGGGTTTAGAGACTGATAACCCAATTACCGTTAACGTACCTCAAAGTCTAAAAAGATCGTAGTTCATCTTTTCTGAGTAATTTTGTAATATATTATTCCTAATTGTTAAAAATTATTTCTAAAGCAGCCTAATTCAGTATAGAAAGCTAAGAATTTTTATTAACTGTAATTGCTTTAACGTTTGGGACTAGTTGTTTTCTACAGTCCCTGGTACTGGGCTTCTGTCCAGGGGAAAAGGGGAGGGGACACAATACCAAAAACGTTTCTAGGTTTAGTGATGTTAACTCATCTGTGCTGGATCTCACCTCTGTGGAAGAGCCTTGGCATCAGTAGTTCTGCTGCCTTTGAGAGCAAAGTCAAGCTCTTTGATGTCAAATCATGATCTTAAAAAGGTGTTCCTCACCAGGTATACATTAGGGTGGTTTGTTCCATGGAATACAACTGAAAATGTTTGGTTTATTTTGAAGTCATTCTTGTTAAAACCTACTGCTTTTGTGATTTGACCGGTATTGAAATGTGTGGGTCTCTCAGAAACGTTACTGATGTCTGTTTGCTTCCATTTCTTTAATCTGAGGTCTGCGTGAAATCTCCTATCCTGAAAAAGTGATTACCAAAAATGTTTCCAAGTATATTTTCAGTTTACTTCCATTTTATCCTTCTACAGTTGATGAGGTCAGGCAGTGTGTTGTGGAGTTTCAGAAAATTATCTTGCAACTCAGAAAGGTAGATTTGATGGTAGAGGGCTAAAAAGATGACCATTTTGCAAAATGCTTATTTTGTTTTAAATATAAAAAGAAAAAAAAATGTACATCTTACTCTACTCCCCTCCCCAGCCCCTTCTCCCTCTTTCCTTGAACGGTCTTATATAGGAACAGGGTCTGTGCTCTTTTGAGGCCTTTGAATATGGGGCAAATTTCAGGAAATGACAAAGCACACTTTATAAAAACCATCTTTCTTTCCATTGCTTACATTTCTGCTGCAACCCATGGTCCACGAGGGCCACGCTCAGTCAAGTGATGCCGTAAGTTCATCACTGCTCTTAAATTATTTAGGGCTCTCGGCAGCAAACTGACCATGCTGATGCTCACTTTGCTTGAGGGAGCTTCAGGTATTGGACCCAGCCCTTTCCCTAGTGGTACAAAATCGCTAGAGAAATTCACTCACAATGCAAGCTTTAAATCTTGTTACGTACCTAGTTTGTTTCTGCTGTAAGGGTCAACTCACTTGGATATGATCCAGGGTGAGATGAGGCTTGACAATCTTTATTTCAGCATGCTAGTATAACCAGTTCTGTGAGCTCCAAAAAAATGTGAATAAGTTTACAAGGTGATTTTTTTGTCAATTTTGTAAACAAGTTCAAATGAAGTTTACCATGTGCGTTATCTGCTGTGTACTCTCATTTTTGCATGAACTCAGTTTCTCTGCTACTGGATTCTCTGACCTGCTTTACAGGCTTTATTATTCTAGTCCTAAAATCTTAAATTAAGAAGGCTGTCATCTCTTCTCGGTGAATGACATGAAATGGCTCATCCCCAAATCTTCTGGGAGTCACCATTCCCTAAAGTGCATGTTTTTAGAGGTACATTAACAGTGTAGAAATGTCTTTTGGAGGAGTGCATGGATGACAGGGGGTGTAGAACCCCCTCCTGCTTGACAGGTACTCATCTCTCTTTTAACATACCCACCGTTACACCTCCCTCGAGTTACTTTTAGAGCTCCCGTGCCTCTGAGGACGTGACTTTCCCTCAGTCACAGCCCTGCCTTGTCCCTCCCTCACAGCGCCCTGCCCGCGCTTCTGCACCCCCCAGGCGCTTTCCAGCGCCACCAGCACCCCTACCACCCCCTTCACGCCACAAAAAACACCTCAGAGAACCCACCCAGGACCTCTTTTTGTCCTCCCCTTCCCCTCCCGGGCTACTTTTAACCCGAGCCGCGGGGGCTGAGGGGGGGTGGTTACGGGAGGCCCCTGCCGGCCCCCGTAGGCGCTGAGGCGGCGGCCGCGGCCGGGCCCGCCCCGGGAAGCGACGCGTTGGCGGCGGTGACGTCTCGGCGGCGGCCGGGGGGGAGCACGGAGCCATGGCGGCGGCCCCGCTGACGGCCCCGGGCGGCTCCGGGCCGGCGGCGGCGGCGGCTGTGGGGGCGGCAACGGCAGGAGGGGGACGAGGAGGCCGCGGGCCGGCCCTACGCGAAGGCGCCCGGGTGTCGGCGCTCTGCCTGGCTTGGTACGGGCTGAGCGCCGGCGGTAACGTGGTGAACAAGCTGCTGCTCGGCGGCTTCCCCCGGCCCGTCACCGTCTCCCTCTTCCACATCCTGGGGCTCTGCGGCCTCCTGCCGCCGCTTCTGAGGGCCTGGCGGGTGCCGCCGGCCGGCCCGGCCCAGCTGCCGCCCCGCGCCTACCCCCGCTACATCCTGCCCCTGGCTTTCGGCAAGTATTTCGCCTCCGTCTCGGCCCACGTCTCGCTCTGGAGGGTGCCGGTGTCCTACGCGCACACAGGTGAGGGGCTGGAGGGGGTGTGAAGGGGATCTGGGTCCGGGGATCCCTGTGGGGGCTTCTTTGGGTAGCCCCGGGGGGTGTCCTGGGGTGCTGGGGGTGCTCGTTGTGGTGCCCCGGGGGGTGATGTGAGGCCTGGTGGGTGCTCGGAGGGTGCTGGTCCCTGCTGTGTGCTTGTGCCGATGTCTGCTGGGCGACTTGAAGGCCTGAACAGGCTCCTGTGGGTGTCCCACGTAGTGACGTGAATCACGAAGTGGTTTGGGTTGGAGAGAACCCAAGAGCTCCCCCAGCTCCAGCCCCCTGCCACAGGGACGCCAGCCACCGGGTCAGGGTGCTCAGGGCCTCATCCAGCCTAATCCTGAACGCCTCCAGGGGTGGGGCATCCCCAGCCACTCTGGGCAACCTGTGCCAGTGCCTCACCACCCTCTGAGTGAAGAAAAGCCTTGTGTGCCCTCATACGAGGGTCCAGTGCAGCGTTGTAGGGCCTGGTGTGTGTTTGTGTGGCTGCCTAGCATGGGGTCCTGGTCCCCAGTATGTGCTCACACCGGTGTAGGGACCCAGAGCCTCAAATGTGCTCAGGTGGGTGCTTGCTGTAGTATCCCCTGCCCCAGCATGTGCTCGTACAGGTGCTTGCTGCGGTGTCCACAAAGGGCCGTCCCACATTTGTATGCCTGCCCAGAGCAGTGACAAGGGATGACCCCGCGTGGGCTGAGGTTCTGGCTGTGGTGGGACCAGAGCTGAGCCCCTGCTCCATCCCCAGTGCTCGCCCTCTGCTGACGGTCTGTAATGGAGCTGGCCCAATCTTTGCATCCCCACCGAAATTTTCTTTCCGTTCTCAGTAAAAGCGACGATGCCAATATGGGTGGTTCTTCTTTCCCGGATCATTATGAAGGAAAAGCAGACGACGAAGGTGCGGACAGGTTTGCTGAGGTTTCTTCTCTTGCTGGTTTTTGTGGTGTGCTTTGCTGGCTGGGATCTGGAAGGCTTGGCTTTGGTCACCTGGGTGAATTTTGTGGTTGAAATTAGATTACGTGGTTCCTTTTCCTTTTAACACATCTAAACATTGAGCAAGGTGATGCTCTCCAACATACTGGAGTTGTTCTGGCATTTATTGTAGTTGCTTCATTTCCTCTAGGCACAACAATATAAAAGCTGATCCCTTGATCTGTTGCTTTATTCTTCTCTCTCCTTTCTTCCCCAAATCAGCAGTAAGTATAAACTCACTTAAAATGAAAATTATTAGAAGATGCAAGCTGTTCTTTTCTATTCCTTTTTCAGGTATACTTGTCTCTGATCCCCATAATAACTGGGGTCCTGTTGGCCACAGTCACCGAACTTTCCTTTGACATGTGGGGACTCATCAGTGCACTTGCTGCTACTCTGTGCTTTTCACTTCAGAATATCTTCTCAAAGAAGGTAACGGCTTTGCTGTTCGTGTTATTGGTCAGTAGTGTCACCCTTCAGAGGAGTAGCATGTATTTTCCAGTACAAAGGGATGATGATGATGTTGACTTTCCTAGAGTCATAGGATGGTTTGGGTTGGAAGGAACCTTGAAGTCCATCTTGTTCCACCCCCTGCCATGGGCACGACCCCTCCTGCCAGCCCAGGCTGCCCAAAGCCCCATCCAGCCTGGCCTTGGGCACTGCCTCTCTGAGCAGTCTGTGCTGCCCTAAATCTCTCCTTTAGTTTAAAACTGTTATCCTTGATTGTTACACACTCTGGTGAAGTCTCTCCCCGTTGTTCCTGTAAGCCCTGTCTTCTGACAGTTTGATAGTGCTTAAATGTAACAGTTACTGAAAATTTTTAACATACCTTGCTGTATAAAATCGCTTTCCTGTGGTGAATGAGTCAGTGTCAACACTGGGCACTCCTTGAAGTCTTAGAAACAAAGAGGCGAAGTTAAAAGGTGTGGCTTGAATGTTACAAAATGATTTGTGGTTTGTAGAGCCTTTTAAATGTGTGACTAAGATAGTCACCAGTGAAGAAACCATTCTTTTTTGGAAAGACGTCTGTTTTTCTTTGGTCGTCCTTATTGGGAATTCATACCATAACAGTATTTACAAATTTAATATTGTAATATTTACAATATTACAGTAATAAATCAGTATTTATTCATGGTGCATCTGTCTGTCTGAGGTTGTTACCATTACATGGCTACTGAATCATTGCTGATTACATGGTGTGTTTCCTAAGGTGTTAAGAGATTCCCGAATACATCATCTTCGGTTGCTGAACATACTTGGGTGCCATGCTGTGTTCTTCATGATCCCAACATGGGTTTTGGTTGATCTTTCTTCCTTCTTAGTAGAGAATGACTTGGTAAGTGTTACGTTTGGGAAACTGTCTGCAATTAAGACAGGAGGAAAAAAAATACATCCATACAAAAATGTGCACTTAAATATTTCAGTGTAGTTCCTCATCAGCGTGGAAGGAACTGTTGTGAAATACCTGCAGACTGTTTCACAAAACAATATATGAAACAAGTTTATCATGAGAATTCATGCCAGGGTTAGGAGAGGTAGCGTATGTGACAGCTTGAACCTGAGGAACTGAGAGCTGCAGACAGGAACAAATGCACCCAGAGTGCATGTTACGTGTGTGGTGTTTTCTCAGAATCTGTAGTTGCATGTTTGGGTGCTACTTAACCATAGGGAAGTTACAGCTGTTCTTCCTATCGAAAGGCAGGTAAGAAGTGACTCGTGTTTTATTTCTGTTACTTTGTTGCTTACCTAAAAGCTGAGATAAACTTTTTTTTTCTTGTAACGTTTGTTTTCCTGACAGAGCACGATGTCTCATTGGTCCTGGACCTTGATGCTACTTATAATCAGTGGATTCTGTAATTTTGCCCAGAATGTCATTGCCTTCAGTATTCTCAATCTGATCAGCCCGCTAAGTTACTCCGTTGCAAATGCCACCAAAAGAATAATGGTCATCACCGTGTCCCTTATAATGCTTCGCAATCCAGTTACTAGCACCAATGTTCTTGGAATGATGACAGCTATCCTAGGGGTCTTCTTATACAACAAGGTAAGGCGTTTATCTGTTTGTTTGTTTATTCAGGAAGCTCACTTGAAACAGTCCAGTAGTTTTGAATTATGCCTTTTTGGATTATTTTATGCGTGGCATAAAACTGAAGCGCTTGGGTCGGGCCAGGTGCCCTTAGGTGTCTAACAAATTTTGATCTTAATATTTTCTTGAAAAATGAAGATTAGGAAGTAATTCACTAAAATCTCTTGAGCAGAAGAGAAAAGTAATGATTTGGCATATGAGAAGAATGAGATTTTTATTAGGAGGCACTAGGATTTTAAAATTCTAATAGACATACATAGGGGTGTCATTTTAAAAGTGTGTGGTTTTGTCCTAGGTATGAGGATATGTTAGGTGATAGCCTAGAAAACCATTCTTTTGTTCATTCTTTCCTTCTTTCCTAGACAAAATACGATGCAAACCAAGAAGCAAAGAAGCAGCTACTTCCAGTTACGACTGGAGACCTTGTGAATTTGGACCGGCATCGAAACACTCCTGAAAAGTCTCAGAACGGACTTACGGCATTTGCACAGCACGGAGACTATCAGTATGGGCGAACCAATATCTTAACAGATCACTTCCAGTACAATCGGCAAAACTATCCAACTACCTACAACTTAAATCGTTTTGATATTTAGAGTCCTGGCGCACAGGTATAGACTGTGATATCAAAGTGTCCCCAACATTATCAGAAACTTTTAGTACATCCATGAATGTAAAGCCATTTTATTGTACAGGTTTTGCAGAAGGGAAGATGCATGTGTAGTGGAAGTGGTACAGACCTTCAGCTTCTGCCGAGCAGATCTTTAAATGTGAAACAGCTAGATCTGACACTGGAACGAAATGCACAGTGTAGCTCCTGTACAGAAAGTCTGGTGAACTGCAGATACAAAACATCAGAGCAAAATATCTGGTGTCACTGCTCTTACTTGGAGTCTGTCAATTGGGTATTCTTTTGGCAGCTAAACTCTGGCCAGTACTTTGTTTCCACACTGATAACGTAACCTTTAATTTGTTCTCTATTATGTTTTAATGATGCTTAGGGGAAAATTGCAACTAGGCACATTTCTGATTATCAGAATTTGTTGGTTTGGGAGGATTGACGTATGTATATCAGTTGCAGATAAGTAGTCTTGAATTCATCTTGAGCAAACACAAAACTTGGTGTGGGTATTAATTATTTCTATGCCTATACCTTCAGTTTTTGATGACAAACCAGAAGTATTTCTGAAAGAATAGACAGTAGGAAGATTGATCCCTTCAAGAAGCATATTTCAAGCTTCATATTTAGAGAAACAGTTTTCTCTAATATCATTATTGTCCCAGTCGCTGTAGTTAACAGAGCTTAAGATCCCCATTGTTTTCTGAACAACATAGTCCTGTAACTTCATACATAGGTCTTCCCTGGCAATACGGAAAACACCTTGACAAATAAAGTGTTTGGAATAATGTTATTTTTTTAAACTTGCTTTACACCTCTTATAAAAGTCTTGTCGGTTAGAAATTGAAAGGCTTAAGGTGTTTTCTTCTCAGTTTTATGCATAACTTATGCTTCCTTATATGATTCATATATTATGAATGCTTGCATTTGAATAATCATCATTCTCAAGAAACAATTAAGTCTTATCTTTTTAGCCCCTAATTGTTTTTTTTTAAAGTTTCTTAATTACTGCAGTCGGAGCTGCTTTGTGCATTTTGTCTGACTTCTAATTTCAGCTGAAAGAAGTTACACTTTGTATCCTTCTCTGTTCCTGCAACTCCCCTAGCTCAATTAGTAAATAGTTAAGAAAAAGAATATTTAAATCAGCAGTAAATATATAATTATGGGTAATAAAAACTGATTCAGTCGATATAAATGAACAAAATTCAAGACAAGTTGATTTGATTATCATGAATTAGAGACTGCATTTGTGCATGAAAGGAATGAAACCAGTTGAACTTTGGTTTCACTGAATCAGATTATTATTAATACTTTAGCAAAAAAAAAAAAAAAAAGGTTTTAGGGGCCTTCTTTCCTTAACAGAAAAGCTGTTGTACAGTGAAATTTTTGATAGCATAAATATTGTGTTTTTACTAGAGGTATTAGATACCAGTGACAACATTTAGGGTGTGGTGCTGTACACAACACTCCCTCCACCTATTTATTGCTTTAAAAACGACCATTTCCGTGATATGAGATGATGATTTGACTCCTTTCTGGATAATAAAGAATTTATTTTTAAGGGCAAAGTCAACCTGATCTTATTCTTTTGGCTGACTATGGAGGTAGTTATGTAGATTACCTCCCACAATACAGTCCAAAAGAGGAAATGGTCCATCTGAAACTTCAGAGATGGGTTAAATATGCTGCTAATGTCCGTGAGCAGAACTTCTTGACTTGACTGGAGTTTAATCTGTTCATACTAGGTTAGAACATGGGCTTTTAGTTTATAAAATGTGAATAAATTATTTCCTAACCCCAAATAACAAGGACAAGATTATGAGGAAAAGCATTCTTTCGTATGAAATTGCTTTTGCCTATTCCAGTATTAATTTATGTATAATGATTTCTTTTAATACTGTAAAGAGCAACATGTGTATTTCTAAGGCTCACTTCCCAATATTTAAGCGCTGTTACAAAAATGTAGAAAGAATCATGTGGACTCTGGATTTGGATTAGATTCTGGCTCTGCACAAGTTTGATTTGAGGATGAATGAAACGTTTAGGCTGAGACTTTTGAGAAGAACTGAGGTTGTTTGACTGCTTTCAGAGGAAGCTAGCTGGAAACTGTTAGACTCCTGCAAATGCTGGTGTTCTTTGTGCCTCAGTTTCCCTCCTTCGGGGGGGTTGAAATACCAGAAGACCGTAGCAGTGGGGGCCCCAGGGATGTACAGACGTGCTGTGAGTTCATCTGTAAATTTTCTGGTCTGTCTACCACTGTAATATATTCATACAGCTTGGAACTGTTGGAATAAAGCTCCACATACCGTATTCACAGATCAGAGATTTCATTAAATATATTTAGATGGCTTGCTCTCTGAAGAACATAACCAGATCTTTTTGCAACTCTGTCAAGAGAGAGCTTGCATGCACGCTTACTGTGGCAGGTCTTTAGCTCAGCTTTTTCTGTCAAGAGTATGGTAGCAGGTGAGGGCTTTCTGTTGAAATTACCTTGTCCCAAGTTCCAGCCTGGGCTCACGGCCTGACTTCGTCTCTGAAACAGAACTATTGTACTTGCAGAGCAGAAAGGGGCTGACCCAAAATAAGGGATATCACACCGGGCCCAGAGTGTGAATCTCTGGGCTTCTTCCCTGGAGCCTGTCTGACAGTGTTCATGCTCTTGTAGTTCATGTCTGTGGTCAGCAGGGATCATTTTGCATGGTACAATGTATAATTAAAACGGTTGAGTGAATCAGTTACAAGAGGTGGTTTTGCTGAGTACCTGAATCCAAGTCCTTAAGCAATATTGCCCACATTCAGGTAAAGGAAGTTTCTGATATTGTTGTAATATATATTTTAATCTTGGACTGCTACAAGATTTTGTTTGGCAAGGTGAAGCATTTGTTTTAACATGGTTTGTAAATTAATGACGTATTTATGTACATAGGTCTGTAGAAAGTATGGAAACACTGGAATAAAAAGGGCATACCTAGACAATCGTGTATAACGACCCTGTTATTAAAGTGAAGGGGGTTGGTTTCATTTTCTTTTTACTTGCAAGAAACTTTGGGAGTGCCATACATTAATACTGGCCACATACGAGCAATCAGATTAATGTTTTGCTAATATGGGTGTGACACCTTACCGGATGTTTACTAAGACTGAAACGAGCATGATTTGGATGCCGTAACTAGTGTTAGGACACTAGTTGCTGGTACCCTTAGAAATGTTTTGATTTCCATTGTGCATTTCTAACATATGTAAATACATCAGAAAATCGGGAAATTTTTGCCAAAACAGTCCTGGATAGTTTAGAAATACCAGTGTGAAAGAATTAATCTCCCCCCACTGTGTGTGGGTTTTCTCTTGATAACTCCTTAGATCATGTGGTGCTCTGAAGATCTCTTGAAAGCATTTCCCTTGCAGACTGAATTTTAGTACCCAGTAGTGATTAGAGTATCTTTATCATCAGGTAAAATGCTTGGGTGATTTTTTTTTTTAAATACCTGAATGTTAAATAAATCAAATTGAGGCAATACTTAGGCTTTGTAGGAGTACACTGATTTGTAAAAACAAGTGTTGGTAATTTGGGGTCAATTCATGATGATTTCTAAACTCAAGACCTTTTCTTTCCAATGTGTGTTCAAAGCCACATTTTTCTGATGTAGCATTTTGCAGCAGAAGAAACTTCTGCCATGTAGCTATTTGTGGAAAAAGGTGCAATATAAATAAAGGGAAAGTTTTGTTTTTCTAAGGCTTCTGTTTCTGAACCATATTGTAAGCTGTTAAAGATAATTTGAAAATATCTTTATGGTGATGGTACAACCTGGTAAAACATTAATTAAACCTGAGATCACAGGTTTATGATAAATCATACTATGTAGATATGCAAATGCAAATATGCAGGTGGCAGCCACCACCCATCTTTGGTTTTGTTTTATTTTAGTAGTCCATAAATTGATGTGAGTATAGGTGTTTTTACCAAGAAAATCCCGCAACCCTTACGATAGGAAATCCAGCACTTAAGCAAATGCACAGTTTTGTGTTGTTTTCCTCTTCTTATTTCAACTCTTGTTCTGTGAAGCTCCAGATTTTACTTGGTTGGATTGCCCGTGGTGCAGCCCTCTAGCCTGTGGATCTTGGTACTGAAGCTGGGATCCCCGTATGGGATGAAGGGAAGATACTGCATCGGTCTTTCAGGGCCTGGGACTCTTTCTTGCCTAAAATATATTAGGCGTTCAGATGTTTTTTGACGGACACCTCTGTCAGGTAACTAGCTTTTGGGGCTCTTGGTGGATAAACCATTGCTGCATGCTGATGGATGCGGCAGCCTGGACGGTGGCAGAATGGGCTCCGATGTGCAAAGCATTTTTGCTGGAAGGCATCATTATGAATTTTGAAAATTTTCTTACTTCTAAATATAAGCTTTAAATAAGATTTAAATATCTTTAATAAGATTTGAACTTAATCTGGTCTTCTGGGATCAGTGTTAATTTCCAGGACTGCAGGGTGATGTAGAATCATGATCAGACTGTATCTGATATTCTTTTTTTTCAGTTGTTTCTTGGATACATGAAAACACCCATCTTCTTTCTGAGTTTTTATATTCTGTAGATAATATAGTGGGGTCTTCATGGTATGTCTTGTTAAGAATAAAAAGTTCTACCTTTTTGTGAGGATGTCTGTGAGTCTTGTGTATGTGACTGGAAATCCTGAAAAGTGTAATTTAATACCTAAAATTTAAGAAAGTGATTAGACATCCATGTGAGCACTGAATAAAAGTGTTAGAATACTCAGGCTTCCCTTTGGCCTTCTACAATTCATCTCTGGTTCTCCTGTAAATGGTCTTCAAGCATTTTCTAAAAATTGTGTCAGTAAGCAGAGGGAGTTGAGCAATTCCCACCAAGCCTCGTACCTCTTGACTGGGCTGTGAAGCTGATCAGATCAGCACCTTGCTTTTATAAGGAATCTCAAGCTGTCAGATAGTTTTAATCACATTTTGAAAGATAACAGACCATCAGGTGCCAAAGGAAGGATAAGGTAAAGACTAGAAACAACTTGAACATTTAAGTGTGTAAAGAAATGAAGTCGTGTGGAAAGAAACAGTGCTCAGGTGTGAGTTAAATGTCCCTTCACAGGGCAATTAACAGTTATATTTTTCGGTTGGCTGTCCTGAGCTCCCTGCACATCCATGTTCCTAACATTTTTACATCATGTCTGTGGTCTCCCCAAGTGCTGCATTGATGGATTTTCCCAGATACGCAACAGATGTTGAACGACGTTCTTTCTTTTAATGTGCTCTATGGATTTCTGTCAACCTGAGTGCAATTTGGATGTACTTTTACTTTGGATGTGGATGTTTAGTTTTTAGTTTGGATGTACTTTGATGTACTTTTAGGGCTTGGTAAGCACGAAGCAGAACTGGCTGCTGCAGGAACGGCAGCGAGCGGGCAGCCACCCGCAGCCCAGAAGCAGCTTCCCCGGCTGGGCAGGGCGAGGGGCGAGCCTTGGGGCCGAAACGGCTTCGAAAACCGTGACAGAGCGGTGGGGAAGGGACCGTGACTGGACCATGACCGAACCCAGTCCCCTCTTGGGGGCTGGGGCCTGGCCCCGCCGCCTCAGCCCCTTCCCGCCCCGGGGCCGGGCCCTGTCAGGTTCCCGCCCTTTGCGGTCTCCATAGCGACGCGGCCGTAAAGCGCGGCCGCGCGTGGCGCTTGGCGGCACTTCCGGCCGGTGCGGCCTAGCTGGCGGCGGCTGGCGCCCCCGTTGTCCCGCAGCCATGGAGATGCCGCTGCCGCCCGACGGTGAGCGCGGCCCCGGGGGGGGTCTGAGGGGGGCGAGGGGGATAAAGGGAGGTTTGGGAGGGGTGTGAAGGGAGGGAGCGGGCCCGGCGCGGGCTGACGGCGCTGCCTCCCCACAGACCAGGAGCTGCGGAATGTCATCGACAAGCTGGCGCAGTTCGTGGCGCGGAACGGGCCCGAGTTCGAGAAGATGACGATGGAGAAGCAGAAGGAGAACCCCAAATTCTCCTTCCTCTTCGGGGGCGACTTCTACGGCTACTACAAGTACAAGCTGGCCTTGGAGCAGCAGCAGCGTGAGTGGGGGCCGCGGCTCGGGGCCGGCCGAGGGTGGCGGCGGGCCCTGTACCCCCCCTCCCTCCCCCTGCGGCCACTGCCTCCCCGTCCCCTCTGGGCCCCGGCCCGCGGAGCCGCTTTACCCCCCCTGGCCTCGCTCTACCCTGCCGGGATCGGTTTGCGGCCTCTTCCTGCCCTCTGAGCTCCAGGTAGATGGCTGAGCCCTGCCCGCGGCTCTGCACGCCTCCCCTTTCAGGGTTTGGAGCTAGGCTGGGCTGTGCTGTGGGCACAGGGGGCACTCGGGAAGCGGGAGGTCCCGCACAGAGCTCCGGGAGCTGGTCTGGTGTTGGAGACGGTCCTCTCCCTTTGTGCAAGGAGTCGCTTGTCCCCCTCATCTCTTTGCACCACCCACCCTTAATTGCACGATTGACATTTTGCATCGAACCATTACATGAAGAATGAGGGTCTGGAACCAGCACAGCGTTTGTGTATGGGCTTGTGATAGCAGACTTCTGTTTGAGGCTTGCTTTAAGAGTTTACTTTGTCTGACAGTGCTGTGCAAGCAAAGTCAAGATATTGAGGCTACAACGCAGATCCAGCCACTGCCCCAGCCATCTCTCCCACCACCGGCTGCTCCCATCCCAGCTCCTCAGGGCACTCCTTCTGTGGAGGAACTTATCCAGCAGAGTCAGTGGAACCTGCAGCAGCAGGAGCAGCATCTCCTTGCCATGAGACAGGTTGGTGTGAAATAAGCACTCGTCTGCCTTATCCTAAACTACCCGTGGCTGCAAATATTCAGAGCAAAGGGAGAGAGAAAGGCTTCCATCTGACTGGTGGGTGGTGGGTTTGGGTGTTGGGGAGGAGAGGAGGCATTATTGTACTTATTTTTGTTCCGTGGTAATTGCCACCGAATCCTTAGAACAGATGTATGTGATGCTTTAGTAAGATTGGTCCTTGATTAAGATAACATATTCAGTATATGAAAAGCCCTGCTGGTTCACAGAGTGGAAGAAATTGTGACTGCATTTGATGCTGGAGGCTGCTGGGAACTGCGAGAAATGTGGTTGTACTTTAGCAGTAGCCTAAAATAATCTTGTACCTCAAGGCAGATTCAGATTTGGGGTGGGAAGGTGCTGTGTACTTGAACGAGGTGTTTTTGCAGGCACCACTTTGCCCTTAATGCTACTGACAACCAAACTGAGGATTTATGGAAGAAGGGAGCACTCCTGGAATATATGTTTAGGACCTGTCTGCAATTATTTTTTTCAATGAAGGAGAGACATAAGAATGAATACAGTTTTTTTTTTTTTTTTTTTTTCCCAAAGAATGAGAACGGTCTTCTTAAAAGCAAATAATCAAAACGTTTATGTATGATAACATTGCCTGTAAAGGGTCTTGGTCTTTAAGAGAGCTGCTTGTGGTTAAGAGGCTAAGAGACCTGGGCTATAGCAGCTTAGTTCTCTAAAAGAAAATGGGATGTAATTTAATTTAATTTTATAACTTTATTTTTTTTTTCAGGAACAAGTCACATCAGCAGTGGCCCTTGCAATAGAGCAGCAGATGCAGAAAGTTTTGGAGGAAACCCAGTTAGATATGAATGAATTTGACAACCTGTTGCAGCCAATAATCGACACGTGCACAAAAGATGCAATCTCAGTAAGTGATGTTAGTCTGAGCAGTTACTTGGTGCTGTTGTGGATTAAGAACGATCGGAATTTTGGGATTGTATAGAAAACAACTATGTTTTATATGGTAGGCAAGACAATTACCTGAAAATTTCTCTTCTGGCAGTTATTTCAGTGTTCTAAGGAGTCCTTATGATGTGAACACTTTAGACAAGCTTTTTTTTTTTATTTATTTCTTTTCTGTAAGGCTGGCAAGAACTGGATGTTTAGTAATGCAAAATCTCCTGCACACTGTGAGCTGATGGCTGGGCACCTGCGAAATCGTATAACAGCAGAAGGAGCTCACTTTGAGCTTCGCTTGCACCTGATTTACTTAATTAATGACGTATTGCATCACTGGTAAGGATTACATCGTGTTTTTCAGTTTTATGTTTTGATTAATTGGGTGAAAGCTGTCTCTGCTACATATATTTCTTGACTAGTCACCTTTTATTTTTAATGTATTCATTATTTTTAGCAGATGCCTTAATATCTGTAGCTGGCATAAAGATCTGGTGCTTTAGTAATCAAATTCAACTTTTACCTAATTTGTATATTTTTATTCAAGTTAAGGCTGTACAGTAAAAATGTAAAGGAGGGAACTCTATATGAATCTTTTGGTACAGTGGAAGCTGGGAGGAATTGATTTGCAATGCTTTTAATGCTATATTTAATGCTATATTTAATGCTATATTTAATGCTATAGTGAACAGCAGTAACTCTTCTCCTTCCCCTTCCTTTTTTGAAGCCAGCGGAAGCAAGCACGGGATCTCCTGGCTGCTTTACAGAAGGTGGTTGTACCTATTTATTGTACCAGTTTTTTAGCGGTGGAGGAGGATAAGCAACAGAAAATTGCCAGAGTGAGTACCTGGTTTTAGTTTGACTATGCTTTGCTTTGTTAGGTTAATGCCAGGCAAATTCACAAATACAAGGACAGAAGAGAACTGCTGAGATGTTTTTAGTCTGGTTGTCTTCACAAAATCTTATCACAGGACGTGCTTTGCATTTGAACATAT